CAGAAGACTTTTGTGGATTCCTTTAAGGTGTAGCAGGTGGAAAACTTGATTAGTGTAAAAACAGGCAACCTGGATGAATTTTCACATCTAAAGGCCAGACAATAAGAAGTTTGAGTAATTCTTTAAAAAGCTGAATAGAAGGTTAGGTGAGATAATAGAATGAAAGATTTGGGTTATCCTCCATCTGGCAGTGAGAGAGACTTTGCAAAAACAGCCCTTTTGCTTTTAATCAGTCAGTTGACTTCAGGGGAATATTTTCACCCTGGTGCAGTGCTTGCTTGTCAGGGCAGGCAGGCCTTGTGCGACTGAGGCAAATGAATGCATGCTTTTTCATCCAGTATCACCTGGCACAAGAAGATGTCTAACTGGTGGCGATAGGACAAGAAAACCATCCAGGGAAATTTGAGAAGGAGGCCCAGTCTTGCCAGAAGGCTCTGTGTCCCCACAGTGCCCTCTACTCCTCATCATTCTCAAACCTGAACTTGTACTCAGGTGCAGGGGAGTGAAGTATAGGGCAGATATGTTTAGTGAAAATTCAGTGGCTAGATAGGGAAGTCCAGAGGGCAATGCCCAGGTTGGTTGTGCTGCCAAGGAGCCCTAATCACCATGAATCCAGCTTCCAGGGGCTAGGGTGAGGGGCCATCAGCATGGCAACCGCCACGTTCTATGACAGGCAGGACTGCATGGAAACAGCCTCAAGTGGGGTAAGCAGGGACTTGGGTTTATGGGTTTCCTCAGCAGTAATCTTTCCGGAGAAGCAGTCAATTTGAAAAGCAATTTTCTGAAGAGACTTTATCAGGAGAGTCAATGAAGGGTGCTCGACTAAAATAAAAGGGAAAAATCCAGCTGGCGTGACAGCATGCCCAGCAGGCCACAAGCAGTTTGCACAGCCAGCCTGGTCTGTCCTGGCTCTGCAGAGCCAGCAGCAGTGAAGTGTTCCCTGGAGTGAACTGTCCAGTGCAGGCTGCCCCCCATCTCATCCTGTACCCTAGAGAGAACTATTGAGTGGGGTCCTTTAAGACTGACTTTAAAGAAAATTTGGAGCTAAGTGTTAAAGCCCAGTAGGATTGCCAGAGCATCATGGTGGGCAGAAAAGAGCTCAGCCGTGGAGCAGTTGTGGGACCTGCACCTGTCACTTCCAGGCTCCGTTGACTTCTGGTGTGACATCATGCCCACCTGACACGGCTGTTAGAGGGGAAAGAGGAAACACCCCAGCAATCCATCCACTCTGTGTTCTGAAGGGATTGCCACATAGCCAGCATTTCAGGCACCCAAGAAGGCTGACTCTTCTTTTTACTATCAGTAAAAGTCTGACTATAGCTTCAGAACCAGTTTTGTTTTTTTTTTTTTTACCGTACAGCTGAGGATTCAGAGCACAAACAGCATTCCATGGGACCCCTGGGAAACAGCTCCTATTTCTTGGCACAAGGCCAGTGACCACTCACTTGTAACAATGTGTAAGAAAACATGTTAGGTCATCCTCAAATCCTCAAATTTGTCTTTTCTAGGACTTGGACAACAGGCTTGTGTATGTACTCTCTACAGCTTCAGAGAGGGGTTCAAGCACTTGATGAATGCCACATTTTCTGAAGTAGATAAATGTCACTCATTAGGGTCTTTAAAGATCTCTGCCAGACCCTCCTTTGTTCCTATGAATAGCCATCCCCTATTTTAAATTTTTTATAAACTGACTTTTCCTGAGCATGGTCCCCTTTTCTTTGAAGTAAGAAAGGATTTTATTTCTTTTTCTTCATATAAAAGCAATATATGGTCTCAGTAAGAAAATACAAGTGAGCAAAAAGAGAACTGGATAAGAAACACCTGGAAAATAGTGTCTTAGCCCTCACACCTGTCAAGAGGCTTCCATGTAAGAGGAAATGGCATTTTCCCTTCTCTACCAAACTTGCATCTGGAATTCATATCAGGCTTTTAATACATTCCAAGTGGCTTCATGTGCTGAAGAGGACCAGGCTGGACACCCCGTCTCTCAAGGCCTGGTCCCCACACAGACAGTGGGCACTTACCTTCTGCACAGTAAGGGAATTTTATGAGCAAGCCAGAGCCCCTGAAGTCCTTGGAGTGACATTCAGCCCCTGCACACACCTCAGCCCCAGAGCTTCCAGGACAGTTCATAAATCCTAAAACAAAGTTGTGCGTTAGGCCCTATCCCACCCTGTTCCACTTGCACAGCCAAATTCCCATGGTTTTTAGCTTCCTCCATCTCTCCTTCTCTCAGTCTCCAGACCCTTAGGCCAGTAGGGGGCAGTAGAGGACCTGTGTTTTCACTTCCCCTTGTCAGTCACGTTGTGTCACTTCTCCCTTGGCTTTTGCCAGTTGGCTGGCTGATTTGCCACGGGCTCTGGGAGAAGCAGGTCGGACAACTGTGTGCGCTTCAAATTCCAGGTGCCTCTGCCATGCCTGAAGATCAGGGCAACCCTCTTCACCCCAGGTTAGTCACTCCAAGAACTTTAAAGGAAGCAAAAGAAGTGGGAATGAGTGAACCCCAATCATGAAACGAGAGCCTTGTCTGAACAGCCAACAAGGACGGAGCAGTGAACAGAAGGATCTGGTGACTGCTTCCACAGGGCTCCTGTTAGGGACGGTAGCACCTGTCTTCAGTGGCTTACCTGGAAGCAGAGCCTGAGAAAGGGTTCACATGCATGTGCTTTAATGAGAGAACCTTTCCAGGAAGAACCTTGGAAAGTGAGGTACTCCAGGTAGGCAACAAGGTGATGTGAGGTCAGATGCATCTGTAACCTGACCCACCAGGAGCTTTGAAGCAGCCGGACCACCTGGGGGAGGGGGGTCCCCACCTTGAAAAAAATGGTGATGGCCTTAGGCATCCTACTATAAGCCAGGCATCAGCCACATTTACTGGATGTGTGACACCCCCTCCTGGGCTGGGAGCTCCACTGCTAAAGGGTGATTTTTTCCCATCTATTTACATTATTGTTCCTTTTATAACAATGTTTACTTCTCCCCTCCCCCTCCAGTCATCACCATAGCCCCCACATTCCTCCCTCCTTCTGATCCCTCTCTGTCCCCCTCCCCTGTAGGATCTCTCTAGTTTATAATTCTCTGTTTGTTTATTGTGTTGTGTTTTGTATTGTAATAGCAATACATTTTTCCCTGTGTCTTATTTGGTTCTCTTAAATTCCTCCCATAGGTGAAACCATTCGATATTTTTCTTTTGCCTTCTGACTTATTTCACTGAGCATGATCCCTTCCAGCTCCATCCATGTTGCTGCAAATAGCATGAGTTTATCTTTTTTGATTGCTGAGTAGTAGTCCATTGTGTATAGTTTTGCACATTTGGGTTGTTTCCAAGATTTACCTACTGTAAGTAGTGCTGCGATAAACATAGGGGTGTTGCTTCCTTTTGAATTAATGATTTTGTGTCCTTTGGGTAGATCCCTAGGAGTGGAATTGCCGAGTGGTGTGGTAGCTCTATACCTGAGAACCATTAGCTGCCGCCATCTTAGCCAGGCTGGGCCTGAGGCTGTCCCACATTTCACTCAATGCTCATTTCTCTCCTATTACAGAAGAGCATCTCAGCCCTACAAAAACTTTTTTCTTGTAAGAGGGACATTTCTGTTAATTTACAGAAACGCCTGTGGGTCTCGTTTCCAGACAAAGTGGTCCCCCATCTCTGATTTTCAGCCAAGCAAAGAGCTATTTTCAGTTGGCTTCCTGCCCCTGGCCCTGGTAACATGAACTTTCTGTCAGTTTCCACAAAACTGACCTGTGAAAGCAGTCTCTGTGTGAACTCTAATCCACAAGTGTCCTTCATGAAAACTGGGGCCCAAACATAAATTGTCTTAATATTCACTTCATATTTTCATCCCTTCTGAAAGTAGAGACTGTTATACTTGACAGATGCTAAACAGTGCTTTAGAAAATCTAGCAGGGATGTTACTAGGGTGATCATCTCTGGGTGTGGGCTTGTGGACTTTCCTCCTGAGTTTTTCAAAGTGGCCTGGCCTGTAAAATAGGAAGGGAGCTCAAACTCATTTATAAAAATAATTAAAATCAATTAAAAATTCAATTTCTCCTGTTTGGAGTTTCTTCCAACTGCCAAAAATGGAGCTTCCATATGACCCAGCAATCCCACTCCCACTTGTTGGTATTTACCCAAAAGAAACAAAAACATTGATTCAAAAAGACACCTGCACCCCCATGTTTATTGCTGCTTTATTTATAATAGGAAAGATGGGGAATCAACCCAAATGCCCAAAAGTAAAGGGCTGGATTGAAAAGATATGTTACATATACACAGTGGAATACTACTCAGCAATCAAAAAGATAAATTCGTGCCTTTTGCAGCAACATGCGTGGAGCTGGAAGGGATCATGCTTAGTGAAATAAGCCAGAAAGAAAAAGAAAAATACTGGATGGTTTCACTCATAGCAGGAGCATAAAGGACCAAGGGAAAAAATAATAATAATGAGCAGCTATATACCAGAGACATTTTAGGGGGCGTGGGGAGTGCATGGGACTATGGTGATGGTATACCTATGATTTGGTGATGGGAAGCCCACGGGGATTACAACTGAAGTTGGAAAAAGACAAAAAATTATGTAAAAATAAACTATTATATCAAAAAATTCAGTTTCTTACTCAACTCATCCTATGTCAAGTGTTCCACAGCCATCTCTCAGGTGTCCACTGCCTTGGATATGGGCCATGTCCATCATTGCAAAAATGTAACTAGTCACTTGTAACTATATGAAGTATATGAGTGTAAGTGTAAGGTTTTTATTTTCACAGCAACTCTTCAAGGTAGAAAGTTATATCCCATTAGACAGGTCAGAAAAGTTAGCTCAGAATGTCCCCTTCATGTTGACTGTAACTTTCTCAGGGTCACACAGCTGGGATGGGCACCAGGCTGACCTGATTGTCCCAAAACCCCTGTGTTTGCTGTTGTCCCTTGAAATTGCCTTCAAGGCCCCTCCTGTGGTGTGCCCCTCCCTTATCATATCTCCTCATCACTGTGCCCTCAGGAAAATACCATCCACCGGCAAGTTGGTGCTGACCCTCACAACCGACGCCTGTGAGGGGCAGGAAAATTTTGTCCGCTACCTGGAGCACGTCCAAGCCGTCATCACAGTCAACGCAAGCAGAAGAGGGGACCTGAACATCAACATGACTTCCCCTATGGGCACAAAGTCCATTTTGCTGAGCCGGCGTCCGAGGGATGACGACTCCAAGGTGGGCTTCGACAAGTGGCCTTTCATGACCACCCACACCTGGGGGGAAGATGCTCGAGGAACCTGGACCCTGGAGCTGGGGTTTGTCGGCAGTGCACCCCAGAAGGGGGTGCTCAAGGAGTGGACACTGATGCTGCATGGCACTCAGAGCGCCCCCTACATTGACCAAGTCGTCAGGGATTACCAGTCCAAGCTGGCCATGTCCAAGAAGGAGGAGCTGGAGGAAGAGCTGGATGAAGCTGTGGAGAGAAGCCTGAAGAGCATCCTGCGCAAGAACTAGCGCAGCGCATCGGCCTCCCGCCTCCCTCCCTCCCCATCTCTGCCTCTCTCCTCGCTCCACATTTCTGTCAGCACCTAGCAATTACTGTCATCCCCACACAAGCGATTCCAACTTCTTGATCTGAAGCTTCGCTCTCTGTCAATGATTATTTTCGTTACAATGGAAGCAACCTTTTTTATTCTATGCCCCAAATACAGTGTTCCCAACAACACCGATGTCCTAATTGTCACTCTAAGTTCTTTGTTTGTGTCATTCAAATAGGTGATATCCTGCAAATAAAACCGGGACAGCTTTCCCCTCAATTTTTTCATATCTGAGAAGAGAAGAGAATGAAAAAAGCCACACACAGTGATGCCGAGAACGTTTGTTTATTCATGGTCTCAATGGAGGACCTGTTACCTAAAAAGATAACCTGACATTCTGACAGAGGGTGAGTTGTGAATCTCTTAGGGTGCAGGAGCTGCTGTAGTCCCTTGGGGAAAGATGTTTCGAACATAGCGAGATGTTCAGTGACAGATTAAGGTGACATGTTTTGATAGATGTCATCTGCAGAGACCCTGCTCGTTGGATAGGGAAGAGTCAAAAAACCTAAGCCCTACAAATCTTCCTGCCAAGAGCCTAACTTGCCCCCCTCAGCCAGTGTGACACACAGAAAGAAAGACTAAGTAGCTGGCTGTGACCCTGAGTTTTGGTAAATCTGTTTGAGAAGCCCAAATTACCCTCAACTTGTATAGAAGTCACTCCAGCCCCAATTTTCTGGGGTTTCTGACATGGCTACCCAAAAGGAAAAATGACAAGGTATGTGTGTCAGTTTATCTGTAAAGTTCAGTGGTTTTTAAGCCGGAGATGCTTTTCCTCAGTCACCTTGAGGTTTTTTTAATCTGATGTAAGAGAACAGATGAATATTTTTTTCACTGCTTTCCACACCGATGCACAAGCTCTAGTTCCAAAACATACATTTTAAGGGATACATCTTACTCGCTTGTGTGGTGATTCCTGTGATGGGCCTCCGTTTTGGAAGAGGTGTGAGAAGGGGAAGGGGGCATGCCTGAGGATGTGAACAGCCATTTTCCCATGAGCCTCCACTGGTATGGAGCCCCTTCCTCTGAAAGGGGAAAATGCCACCTCATACCCTCTGTAATTTGAGATCTGAAGGAAGCAAGAGAAGGGAGGGCAAACAGTCACCATCTCAGCAATTAAGTTACCCTTGAGGGTTTTAAATACTTAGCCCCCTAAGGCCACATACTTGTTTCCCCTTCAAGCCCAAGACACTACCTGGTTTCTTCAAATAGTAATGCTTCCTCCCCCACCATCACTGGTTCCCCACCCCGCCCCATACTAAGACCCACCAACTCCAAGAAAGATGTTTGATTTGATTCCCAAGAACTCACCAGCCACTGGCTTCCTTCCTCTCTGCCCGGGGAGGCAGTAGCTAAGGCTGGAGCTCCTACCCTTCAAGTCAGCAGCACAAGGACTTTGGGTTCCATTCCCTGAAGGAAGCAACTTGTGAGAGAAGTCTGGAAACCCCATTTTTTTCTCTTCCTCCTTCCCCATGTTAGCATGAATTTCTGTCTTCTTTAACACCGTCTGAACTTCCCTATGTAATGCTTTAAAATGTAATAACATTTATGACTTTTAAAAGAAATTTATTACTTGTTGCAAAGGTCTTTTTAAACCAGTTTAGATTTAAAGAAAAAAATAAATGAAAATCATCAAAAATTCATTTCACATTAACCATCTGAAAATAAACCAAAGGACATTATGTGTGCATATGTGTATAGATGCACACAGGAATATATACATATGTAGGCTACATACATGTGTGTATATATGTGTATAAATATATACACTTGTATAAATGTATAAACACACATATACCTAAAAATGTGTGTATGTGTATTTACTGAAGAAACAGACACCATATTCATCTCTAAAAGAGTATTTAGAGAATAGCAAGATAATTCTGGCTAAAGAGAAAGGCCGGTGAAAATTCAGGTGAAAATGTTCAGCAATTCCCATTACATTACCTCTGTAATTTTGCAGCTCTATGTATAAACATTAAATGTCTTATATGGCAGCAGAAATATAAAATAGTTGTCCATATTTTCACAGTTGTGATATAATTTATGAAATTAGAGAGTACCTTATCAGCTTCTTACTAGAAATGGCAAGTTTTGATATGAGTATACAGTATATAAAAATATATATAGTGCTATATAAAAATATTTGGTCTCAATTTCATTTTTTGCACCAGTATTAACACTAAAATATGTCTAGTTAGTGAGGTTTTTATTATATCCCTGATCCTAATGCAAGAGATACTTATAGTTGTTTATTTAAAAAATAAGTAAATAATGATTAATCAAGTTAATATTGTTACTCCCTCTGACAAAATTTTTTAAGTAAATTTAAAAAGACATGTTGTAAATTAGGAGACTCAACAATAAAACATTACCTTCCAGAAATTATGTGGGATGTGATATGTATTACAAAAAACATTTCCATCCATTCTAGGAGCAGAAAATAAAAACTTGCCAAAGAAATATCTAAAAGTTTGCTTTCATAAATATGCATGAAAGATGTATAATTAGCAAATAAATCACACACAAATTAAGACCAAAAACACCATTCTTCAAACTCAAAATACATCCCATAAGTGGGCTGTAAAGTAAATGTAAAGAATCAATACCAGCATTTTTTAACAGAACAGAATGGGTAGGATAGGACAGGATAGTATAGAAATGGATAGGGTGAATAGAATAGAATAGAATAGAATAGAATAGAATAGAATAGAATAGAATAGAATAGAATAGATCATTCACATCATTAAGTATTGTTTCCTAAAATATTTGTTCCAAGGGTGTGTTTATTATGTGTCTATGTCTTTCTGTCTGAGTGTGTATTTTTTTAATATATTGGCTCACAGAGTAAAATGCATTTCTGATTGTAAGTCTTGGTCAAAGGTCTTAGAAATTCTAAAATGCATTAATCAAGTTGAACTACATTATATTATAGAAACAAGCAGCCCCAAATTTCAGTGCTTTAACACAACAAAGTTTTATTTACCATTCACACAAATTCCATTAGGGTTCAGGTGACTTTCCATGCAATGTCTGGGGGATTCAGGCTGCTTAAATCTTCAATCTTCTTGTTTGTGATCATAATACTACTACAATCACCACTCAAAAGAGAAATCATGGAAGAGTCTCTTCCATTCCTCTTTGTTAGGCCTACTGAAGACACACGTCACCTGACATATTGTGTGTTGGCCAGTACCAGTCAGTGACCCTGCCTATGAATGCAAAGCAACTGGGGAATGTAGAGCAATCCATGGGGTACTTGGGGAGCAGTGGGCCTCCCTGGTGGCACAGGGGTGGAAGTGTCAGTGCGATCGAGTTCAATCCCCGGCCAGGGAGCTGACCCACGTGCGCAGCAGACCTCTCCGGTCTCACCTCTTGCTCCCCTCAGCAGTGTTTTTCAGCAGATCCACCTGTTCTGTTCCCTACTTTGTCTCTGGTGAACCCTTTGACCACCTCCCCAACACCTCTGGCCTATGCCCCAGTTCTTGTATGCATAAATAAATAAAATAAATCTTCAACGAAAAAAAAGAGGGTAAGTCCATTCCGGACCCTGGGTCTTTGTGACTGCAGTGCCTGCTGCCTGATGCTTTTCGCTGTCCTTTGCCCACCCTGTCCCATAGCTCACCTCACATGTCGCTCCCTGCACTGGGACTCCATCTGACCACCCAAAAACAAAGTAGACCCTCAGACATTTTTTTGGTTTCCTTCAAGTGTTTTCCCTAATTTCCTGATTGGCTTGCTTGTGTATTCCTCTCTTCCTCTGCCAGAATGCCTTCTGTGATGGCAGGGCCGCATCTCATTTTCTATGCTGTGTCCGCTGTACCCAGAACTATGCTTGGCACAGAACTCCTCTTAATTCATTTTTGTCTATCGATTTTATAATATAAAAATGACCTTCCTTTCCAAAAAGATAGCCCCTACTTTTTTATACTAACCAAATACAAAGTGTAAAAACAAAGATTTAATGAGAAAAAGAGAAGGTTTACAGTGACAGTTATGTTGTGTATAATATAAAAACCAACCCAAATTTCTAATACATCTGGGCTCAGTTAATGGTGTCCATCATTCTCTATTAAGCTTTTAAATTATAAATATTTCAAAACTGTGTAAGGGAGTGGGATCTCTGTTCATCTTTTTAAAAGGACAATAGCCTATTTCTTTCTTGAGGTCAAAACCTCAAATGAATTCAGAGCAAGACTTTTAAAAGCTCTCAGTAGGAAAGATGGCTCCTCTGAGTAGTCTTTCTATTATTCATAACCAAAAAAAAATAATAATAACAGGCTTTAATTTATGACTCTGTCAGCTTTGTCCAATAATGTGTAGATGTTTGCCAGATGCTTTTGTTTGGCAAACGTAATAATCCATTTAAGCACTTTTACTCAATGCCTTTTGGAACATCTACATGAGGAAGGAGTCATTTCTTAATTGGTATAAGTAAAAAATAATTTTGGACTGCTAGTAGAAAAATGGATGACTAAAGACAACATGAAATTTTTACAAAGATTCTTACTTGAATTTCTATTTCCTAGGATGTTATAAGTACCTATGTGCACATCACAAGAATGCATGCACATGTGGACATTACAGTGTACTATATCATAGCCATTGAGATTACTAATAAATCAGGAAAATCTTCTATTAGCATAGTCCACTGCCTAACACATAGTATATGTCCCATAAAGACTTAATTGGACTAGTCAGTAAACCCTAAGACAGGAACTGTTGTTTGTTGAAACCAACCTAGGATTGCAAGCTTGGAGTAAAAAAAAACGTAAATAACTCAGACAAAAGTACACTGAGGATATTTGCTATTCAGAAAAGAACAGTGGCCTGCCTCTGCCCTATGACCCCTATATTTCCCTGTTTTTCCAGGCCTGACATACAAATATCAGGACCTGTACTTCTTTGCCTGAGAGCTAACTTGGCCCTGAAGGTAAAGGCCTGGGAGCGCCCTCTCCACTGGCTGACTCAGGTTGCCCTTACCCTTAGCAGGGTAACTCTGTAGTGATGGTCTACTCTCCACCACCACCTCAGGAGCATTAAATGCCAGTGGTCCAACTTGTTACTGTGATTAGCCCTCTTAACTCTTGCTTTGCGCCCTCTCCGTCAGCGCCGTCCCTCACCAGCATTTACTGGGATCACATCCCCATGAAACTATATTGACTCTCGACTTCTGTAGGTTTTTAACTACCCAGGGCCATTTATGGTCCCAATTTTTTTCAAATTGGTAAATAATTTTTTTGCCCACATGTCTTCCCAAGGCATCTGGGGATAAAGAAACCATGGATATATGGGGCTAGCCATTAAGGCTAGAGCATCTGTAGATTTTGGTACCCACAAGGGCCCTCAAAACAACCCCTATGGATACCGAGGGATGACTATAGTTCAATGGGAATCAAAATTTATATGCAGATTTTGAGCTTCCTGGAACTGGGCCCCTCTAATCCCCCCC